GTCCGTTACAATGGTGTAGAGGGAAGACTTGGAGGATGAGTCATCATCCCAGAAACAGAACCATAAAGCTTTCTTAGCTGCTATAGATAAATCCATTTGATCCAGAGAATATCCTAGTTACATCTAGGATAGTTTCTGTGAAGAAGTCAGTTGTAACCTGAAGACTTCAGACTGCCTCTTCAATCTTGGCTTTTAATATCTCTCTTCATAGTAGCCTTTAGATCTTTAATCACATATTTCATGTTTGTAGAAACAGTAGCGGAAATCACAGCTGGCTGGCCTACTGCAATGGTAGGCGTAAAATTTTGGACAGGTCTGTGTCCACCTATGATCCATAAGTGTGCAACTTAGGTGGTGTAGTTCTGGGGTTGGAAATAACTTCCTCCACAGGTTAAAGCCTGGCCTCTTTTCTTATCCCTAAGGCTTCTGGAACTTACTTTGTAAGCCCTGCCCGCATGTCATGTGGCTCCACAGTGATAGGTCATGCTGAAGCGACAACCTTCTGGAGGCAGTCAGTGCATAACCGATTCCTTCCACTGTTTTCTCCTCATAACCAGATCGTGGTGAAGAATCAGACACCTGACAAATAATAATAACTAAATATTACCTGTGGTAAAGAATTAAGAAAAAATGTGCACTGTTAAATTCTATAAGAAACCAGCAAAACAGCTTTAAAACAGGCTGAAGACAGTACTTATCCATGTCTGGAGACCCTGCAAATACTTACCCAATAAGTGTATGTTTACTGTAATTTTCCCTTTATTTTAGGCACTTTCTGGCAATTGCCCTTATCCCAGATGGCTGCCACAACTTGTATTCCCACAATGCAAGTCATCTGTATGAGGCCCATTAAGGCACAAACTGCACATGTGGGCCTATTCCGAGTGTGTTTGCTGTTAGAGACCAGGGAGAGGACTCTGTCTGAAGCCTACATTGTCCCTAAACACCCAGTGACCGGGAATAAATCACTGGGACCGAGGGGGAAGCAAAATAGATAACAAACGTGCCTACAAGGAAGTTTAAATGGCAACCATGGGCAAAAAGTCAAAGTTTAAAGGCACCACAGGCTAAAGGCCTCAAGGTATAAAAGGTAACACAGTTTTCAAATTTAACAGTTTTTAAAATATATCATTCTTCAAATGTACTGCGGTTTCCAATGACTTGCGGTATTACATGCAACCGTATTAAATGCAAATTTAAATGAAACCGTTTTAAATGCCACACGGCTTAAATGCTTCCTAGCACAAGCACAACCGCATAATGTACCACAATCCTAAAAATAAGGTACAGCTGTATAATGCACTCGTTTAACCCCTTAAGGACACATGACATGTGTGACATGTCATGATTCCCTTTTATTCCAGAAGTTTGGTCCTTAAGGGGTTAAATATATCAAAGCTTAAATGCATCACAGCATAAAAGCACAACTGCATAATGTACTACAGTAAAACAGGCAAATAAAGTAATGAAGATAAAACAACATACATGTCCGTAAGTAAAGGGAGCAAATTGCTCACGTCCTAAGGGCTGTAGGACAGGAAAAAGACTGAGGACCTTAGGGATGGAGCCTCCTTTTAAAATCTTGGTGGTTTTCCTGTCCTATCGGCTGTAGGGGAGGAGCTAACCCATGTGTATATGCTGCCATGATTAGCCAGGAAATAGAATGTGACGGCAGATAAGAACCTGGCCTAGTCCCTGGCCTTATCTTATAGTTAGGATAGCCTTATGCCTATCCCACGCATGCTTAAACTCCTTTACTGTGTTAACCTCTACCACTTCAGCTGGAAGGCTATTCCATGCACCCACTACCCTCTCAGTAAAGTAATACTTCCTGATATCATTTTTAAACCTTTGCCCCTCTAATTTAAGACTATGTCCTCTTGTTGTGGTAGTTTTTCTTCTTCTAAATATAGTCCCCACCTTTACTGTGTTGATTCCCTTTATATATTTAAATGTTTCTATCATATCCCCCCTGTCTTTCTTTCCTCCAAGCTATACATTTTAAGATCCTTTAACCTTTCCTGGTAAGTTTTATCCCGCAATCCATGAACCAGTTTAGTAGCCCTTCTCTGAACCCTCTCTAAGGTATCAATATCCTTCTGAAGATACGGTCTCAGTACTGTGTACAATACTCCAAGTGAGGTCTCACCAGTGTTCTGTACAATGGCATGAGCACTTCCCTCTTTCTACTGCTAATACCTCTCCCTATACAACCAAGCATTCTGCTAGCATTTCCTGCTGCTCTGTTACATTGTCTGCCTACCACAGAGACAATAACACTCATACAGAGATTCACACAGACACTAACACTCATACAGAGATACACAGTGTGACGAGAGCAATCTTGCCACATTGCATTGGAGAAGCCTGGTTGCACGCCTGCTGCCTTTGGATTATGGCCCCATGTCAAAAGACTGTTTCCCCTGCAGAAAAAATTCAATCTACCGAACAACCGCACGAATGACTAGACCACCTGGGAGCTGGAGTGTGCTGGCAATTAGCCTCCCAGAAGCTGCGATTAACCGCAGCTTAATTGACGAATACTGGGTGGCCGCCATTCGTATAACGAACACGAGGTTGCGGCCATTTTAAACACGCGAACACATAGCGGTGTTCGACGCTTAACTCCTGGAACTAAAAACGGACACAGTTTGGCGCGAGCACCGCTGAAGCCACCGACCTCCCTTCTTGTTCAGTGGAAGTACACGAACGGCCCGGTATTCGGTAGTCCCCATGTCTCCCAGTGTCTCCCAGGGGGCACAGCGACCCTGACAGCACCAGGATGGAACCAGCAGTGGAGTGTGATGAGGTTCCATCCATGGATGACAGAGATACGCTGCGCAAAGACACTGCACTATACCCCAGATAGGAATCCCATGGAGCTCATTCGTATGAGAACTGACTTTGTAAAGACTTTGGCTCCATGGCGATTAAACTGTATTCGTGTGGTCTGAGCGCCATTCGCTTAATAATGTGCGCTCAGACCTGAGCTATCTGGGGATAGGTTAAATGTATGGTTTTAATGTTATGTGTCTTGCATGGTATATTTTAATAGTAATTCTTGTGTTAGTATCCCCACGTGCATAAGGGCGATTTGCCTTTGTCCTGTGAGATAATTGAATTACTTCTCAATTATCTCCAGGGCAGAGGGGAGGAAGCCAGGATGCATTGTGGGAATATAACTTGACTGTGTGTCCTAGTTGTCTACTTGTCTGTCTTTTGTCACAGTCTCCCATTTGGTCCCCTAGGGTGGGAGACCTGCATAAATACTGGGCAGGTAGCCCTCATTAAACAGACCACTGCTTGACCCCCAACACGGAGCCTTGTCTCGTCTTTGGGGGGGGATTTACTGAATGCTGATAGAGACTGATTGCTAGGAGTGTAAGCCGCTTGGATGCTTTTCCTATTCGTCTGCTAGCAGCGATTCGTATGGTTCCAGTTTGTGAGTTTGGAGTGTTACATTGTATGCCGTTCGGGAGTTTGGAGCATTCCCTTATTTGCGGTTCGGGAGTTTGGTGTTCTACAGTAGCTGTGCCTGCATCTCTGAAAGGGGATGATCGCCTAAACGGTTTTAACCCCTTGTGTGCTGAAACGCTCCGTTACACGGGTCATCTAGGCTCCCGCTGCACAGCCCATAGGATCACCCAAAATTTCTTCTGGCCTAATTTCAACCGAGATGTGCGGGTCTATTGTAGTACTTGTGACACATGTCAACAAGTAGGTAAACGGGGGGATCATCCAAAGGCTAGGCTCATATCGATGCCGATCATTGGAGAACCCTTTTCCCGTATAGCCGTTGACATTGTGGGTCCACTGGCCAGGGCTAGCCCATCCGGTAAGAAGTATATTCTCACCGCGGTGGACTATGCCACCCGTTATCCAGAGGCAGTAGCGCTGTCTAATATAGAGGCAGAGACGGTTGCTGATGCCCTGGTTAAAATTTTCACTAGGGTCGGGTTCCCTCAGGAGATCCTCTCCGACCAGGGAACTCAGTTTACCGCTGTTCTCACCCAGCAGCTGTGGAAGGTGTGCGGCATTAAACCGCTGCTTAGCTCACCTTATCACCTTAATGGCACCCTCAAACAGATGTTGAGGACCTTTACTGACACTTGCAGAGACTGGGAGTGATTCCTGAGTGATCTGCTATTTGCATACAGAGAGGTGCCCCAGGAATCTACTGGGTTCTCTCCCTTTGAGCTACTCTATGGGAGAAGGGTCCGCGGACCCCTAGATCTCATTAGAGGACACTGGGAGGGAGAGAAAGAGCAAGAGGGAACCCCCATCGTGCCATACATTCTGGAACTCCGGGACCGCATGGAGAAACTATCCGATGGGAAGGGAGAATCTCCAGGCGGCCCAGGGGAGACAGAAGAGGTGGTACGATCGGGGTGCCCGACAGCGGGTCTTTCAGGTTGGGCAAAAGGTTCTAGTGCTCAAGCCTGTGAAGACGAACAAGATGCAAGCATCTTGGCAGGGCCTGTATAAAGTGTTAGCTCAGGTGTGTGATACTACCTATCTTATAGCCAGCT